GTTGCTTTACCTTGCCAAGCAACCATGGGCCACTGAATGAGGAGAACGTTCAATCTTCCATCGCTGTATATTGCGGTCATTTCAGGAACTTTTTAACTTTTTGTTGTATAACAATGAATATATGATAAGACAGCACTGTTTAATGCAAAAACCTTCGCTTTATAAGTACTTTTTGGTCTCCAAATTACCACCCCAAGTCCAGCAGCGCCCCCTTCTCATCCTGGGGCTGAATCTCAAATGGCTCCCTGCTCCCACATACTGCACTACGTAGGAATTTAAATACTGGATCCTGCAGCCCAGCAGTGCAAAATATAGCTAAGAGTTAGTAATTTGGGACTCAGCCACATCCATACTCGATAAATGATGCACTGTTTGTCTGTAGAGGCTAGAATTTCTAAACTTTCATAGATAGCACACTATTTAGGGAGTATGGAGTCGTTTGGGATTCAGCCTGGGTTTGATGCGACTTCTGAATGAAACACGAACATTTGAAGCATGTAATCCATTCGGGTGACGTTTTTTTAGACTTTTATTCTGCCGTTTTACAGTTAATCAAACTGTAAGTACTTTAATTTAAGCCTGTAATATTAATGATGGAGTTGTACCCCTGCAAGAAGGGTACTTAAATTCAGCCCAGGTACTCAAGCACAATATGGTTCACTTGGCAGTGGAAATAATGGCAAAAAGCGTGATCATGGCTTTGTAACCGTACCGTCCCATACCTCACTGCCATAAAACGCCATAAGAGCAAATCGGGGGCCCTCTAAGAAAATGCTGAACATCACTCACAATGTCAGGGAAGATAAATTTCTATGTAAAACAGCAGAAGAAACTCGTAGCACAAAGTGGAACGTTTTTCCTAATGTTTTTCACAATAATGGGCTTTTAGCGTCTATTCACACTTGGCAGGTTTGGTTTGATTAGAACGAACCTTGGTGTGACTGCTCTGTTGGTGTGGTTCATTAGAACAAGTGAGAGTGCTGTAATGCAAACCCTGGTGCGCACCAAATAAGCAGATTGAGATCCCCTGAGGAGGTCAGTCAGGATCTGCTTCCAAAAATACTCTGGTGGGGTTTGTTTGAAGTATGAGCACAAAACGGAATGAAGACATTTAAACCTGTGGTTCTCTAACTGGGGGCTGCTAAGGAGGCTGCAGAGAAACCTCAGAAGTTTGTCAGTTTATTAAATCTGCTTTAGCCATATCTAAAACCTTGGTAGGCCTACTTGTTTAAAAGTTATTAAAGCTATTAAAATTAAATATTTACCAACCAATGACAATTCAAGGTCATTCCACACCCTCTAATGGAGTTATCTGTAATGTCATAGAACAGGGCCGTGTGTCTATATGCAGGTCAGCGATAGCTAGCAAAATCGGCAGGGTTTTGGTAAGACATGGTCCTTGTTCGTTAAGGGACAGTAATGGCCGAGAGCAGGGAGGGCGAGGGCAAGGGGTCGAGAAGGGGCGCAGTGGCACTTACTATCCATAACGGTAGCCTTAGAGTAAAAAAAAAAACAATGTAAACTGCTTATCTAAACAGACCAAACATGGAATAAACCATCGTCTCCTTTTTGCAGACCTTCCTTGGCGCCTGCAGCAGATTGATTTCTGGTGCTGTGTTGACATGTGGGTGCATTTAGCATCTCTTGATGTTTTCATGAGCTCTGACTTTGTATAGAATAAATAGTTTTGGTTTTTAAACGAGGCTGAGGCACATTCACAGGCATTATTAAACACTCTACATGTGACTGCACAGATCAAATATATTATGCATTGATGTGCCAAGTTTCCATCGTTTTCTAAAAGCAGTAATCCCACTTCGTGTCACTGGAAAATAATGCGGCTTCTTGAGGCTTATTGCTTTACAACAAGGGAGGGGCACTGAGGGCTGGAGTCCAGCACAGTTTGCTGACATCCCGGCTCAAGACGTACATAAAGCACATTGTAATTTGTGAAATCAGTGTTTTTTTCCTTCATTTCACTTTTATGACTGCCTTTCAAGTTATGGGGGTAGGGTCAGACCCTTACCTCTTCACCGAGGTATCTGGAAGATCAACAAGGGAGGAGGAGTGTCACATTTAAGTAATGTCCTCAAATGGACCAGGAGGTCTGGCAAAAGTTTGCTGACAGGCTTTTTTTCTACATATGACTTTTGCTCACATCTTTTGATTTGATCTCATATTGTCTCAAACTACCCCCTTCTGGGCCTGAATGGTAGTGCACATGGCTTGGGTATGTACTTTTGTTTTCTTTTCCAGCTCCACCCACTTCTTAATTTCACACACCTGCTGATCATTCTCTGGACTACTTAAGACTCCTACATATACCCCTGTGTTTTTATGCTTGAAAATTTTTTGGTTGTGCTCTAAATAGCATGTTGTGTACTATTTACTGCATCAGTATATCGCTGCTTTTGGAACAAAACCTCATATCTGTTTTTTACATAATTTAAAAATACTAGCTGTTCTTTACATTGTGTGTAAATTTCATAATGAACGGAGCAAAAGAAAGGGCCCAAAATGACTGGTTCCATTGACTTACATTAAAAGTAAAGTATGTTTTTTCCTTCTGCTGTAAAGTTACCCTTTTGGAGATACAAAGTTTTGATCCGAAAGCAGCAACGTACTGTATACTGCGTGCTGCTATTTTTCATTAGCATACTGTATAATATCCAGTATAGGGCACAAGCCGTGTACAGGACAGGGGCATGACGAGGCCGTGAACATCAGAACCGTCTCAAGGCCCGCCCCATTTTCCTCAGCTCTGCAATCACTTTTTAGCAATGGTTGCTAGCTGCTTTTCAAGATGTATGTTCATATTTCAGTCAAGAGATGAGCCTGTGTAACTTTTAAAATACATCCCATACAGTAACCGAGGGCAGGAGGTTGTTTTCCATCTTCAAAGCCAAAAATGAACTTTAAACAATGTGAGCTTTGGATTTGTCTTTGCGGTAAAGCTACATGGTTTCCAAACACACTCGTTTTCCTCCGTTTGTGAGTCATTACGCTCGTAGTTGGTAATAAAGCTAGTTTTACTGTGTGACTCCCCACGGGAGCCTTAAAGCTGAAACTGATTGGATTGTTTGGCTGAGACCAACTTTAGCTATTAAATTACTATTTTAGCCACGTTACATTTGCAGTACATTAACTTATTACCTATTTAAGAGATGAAGTAATCAAACCGACCTCAAGACCAGCAGAGAAAACTGATTGGGAATTTCAGTGTAGCAACATTTGGACAAACTTCTTTTATTGTACTGTTATTCATGTATGGAAAGGCCAAATCCAGGGCTATTAAAAATATCCAGGCAGTTATGTCAGTGGTTACATCCTCCTGAAACAACCGCATTGCATTTTGGGATGCAGAATATCACAGAGATAGCTCTGACTGCGTTCTGGAATGTTTGGTCGGAGTAGTAAGTCATTCAGGTATGTTTGTTGTACTGGCAAACTGCGTATTGGTCACATACTGCATTTGGGCACAAGCAGTACGCAAACAGTATGTGGTAGTCTCAGTCTGTGTTTATCCTGAGCGCTAAGCCGTGCTTTCTGCTTGTTACTTTCCTGTTTTGACCCTTGCTTTATAGGTCTGCATGGGACTGTTTTTTCAGTCCCACTCCCACAAGATTTCATCCTGCTCCTGCAGAAAATCTGAATTATTTGTCCCGCTCCTGCCCGTAACTGAAACATTTTGTTCCGCTCCCACCCTCGCAGTTCCATCATGGCGAACTTACACCCAATATCTGACTTAGTCTATTAACAAATACATTATTCTCTGTTGAAATAACATGGCAGTCATGATCATCAGGCAACGTCTGAAGTAATTTCACATTATACCTTTTATTCCCAGCAAACACAAAGCAGAAATTAAACCACAGAACGGTTATTTTTGGTGTTTTGCTGGGCTTGGCAGCTGTGGCCGTTGGACTGAAGGCTCCGCCATCTCTGTAAGCTAGTGTTGTTCACGTGATTCGTTGCTTTGCAACTCTTTACAATGACTTCATTCATTTGAACTCATTTTATATATGATTTAGTGATCATTCTACTTAATTTAGGCTATTCATTCGTTTGCGTGCTTTGTCCTGCTCCTGTCTACAGTGGGCTGGTTTCCTGCCCGCTCCCGTGTGCAACACTGAAAATTAGTCCCACGCCGCAAAATACTATGGTGGGTCCCACGGTGGGAATCTGTAGGAGTGCAGACCTCTACCTTGCTTTGTCTTCTTTTTTTTGAGTATGGGTATGCCTTAGATATTGCCTGCCTGTGCTTTAACATGTCTATTGTGACTATGAGAGGATTACCACAAATAAAGAGATCGTGCACCTACAACCGACCTACATACCTCTGTCTTTATGTCAAATGAATGCTAAAAGCAAACCAGAACAAAAACGCAGCAGTGCATCATTTTCAGCTTTCTACATTTCTCCCTAGAGTGCAACTAGTGAGTCAAGTCAATAAGAGATTACACACCTTTGCTGTTTCCAAGGAAGATGTATTTGACCCTGTGGTTGTGTTACAGTCTCCCTATTTGAATAACTGCCTCAGTTTTTTTTAATCACACTCTGTATGTGTGGTTTACTAGAGGAAAGTGTCTGATGTTCCTCTAGCGGGCCTAATTCCACAGTGATGGTTCTGTGAATCTAGTTTCCCTAGCAGGAGCTTATCTAGGGCCGAGCAATGTTCCATATTGAATGTAGCTGCCATTCCTTAGTCTACAGAGAGGAATATTAAACTAGCACAGACTAACTAAATAGGACTTGCTTGTCTTACCTGTCTCTGTACATGTTGTTTAAGAGTGAAAAGGAGATTTGTATGAGATTTGATGGATTTTTATGTTCATTTAATACTTTGATTTTCTTGCCAGACTAAATTCCACCGTGCCCTCTTTCTCTCCATCTCTCTGTGGAAGTGTGTAATTTTATATTCTTCCACTACCTTGGACATGCTATGATTTTACAGAAATGACTGTTCCAACACTAACTTATGACTCTCTTTCTCTCCACAGCATGTCCTCCGGGGACGTTTAAGTCAAGTCAGGGCACTGAACTGTGTCTGCAGTGTCCCTCCAACAGCAGATCTACATCTGAGGCCTCCACCATCTGTGTGTGCAGGAACGGCTACTACAGAGCAGACGGAGACCAGCCAGACATGCCCTGCACCAGTGAGTCCTCACACCTCATGCACACTTGAAAGCAAAGGGGGTTTACACAATAGTAGTGATTCTCAATCCCCGTTCTGGGAGTCCCAGGCACATGTTTGCCTTTCCCCAGACACCTAACTCATCACATTGAAGGGCATGATAATTAACTGATGAGTCAAATCATGTCAGATGAATCAGAGGAGGGAAACCAGAAAAAAATGTGAAAGGAATTTGATCCCCAGGGCTGGAGACAGGAAGAGTTGGGGAGCGATAAACATTTATATCCGTCTCCCATGGAAGGAGACCATGGCCAGTTATTATATACCCCCAAATTATACTGGTAAGCAACTTGAGCTACTCAGGAACGCATCTAGGATCTTTCACTGCATAATCTCCATCTTTACCTAACATTACCTATTACCTAACATCCTTAGTCCAGTCTTTTGGGATGCCCATCAAGTCTCCCAACCTGACCCAGGTAAAAAGAGCTAACCTGGGATGCTTAGGACTTGCTTGGGACCCAGAGAGAGAAACTCCATCCATCTTGCCCAATTAGAGCAAGGCCAGTAAGCCTTTCAATCTTTCCCACCTAATGAGACCATGGTCAGTTACTCCAGATACTCTCAGCCAACACTCACATCTTCTACAACTGGGGTTATAGATTTTGGTTCTCCAATGAAAGTTAGGGAACATCTTGCTCAAACACACTTTTTAACTCATCACTTAAGATTAGTAAGTGTGTCAGAGCAGGAAAGTCACCAAATTGCGCTGGACACCAAGCCTCCAGGAACAGAATTGATGGCTCTGTCTCTTCAACAAAACCCTGAGTGCAAAGTTCCATCCATTCTCTACTACCAGCTTTCTCAATCCAGTCCATGGGGACTCCCACCCTGTCCAGTTTTGTTCTGTTAGAGCCCCAAACACACACCAGGTAATTGAGGGCTGGAGAATGCTCGTTACCTGGCACATGTGTATTGGGAGCTGGAGCAGAGCAGAAATGTGGACTAGACGCTTGTCCCAGAAGGCTGGGCTGAGAAGCTGGAGGTAGAGCAGTCTAGCTTAGAGCCCATATGTAGGTCAGGTGGAGTTTCGTGCCATTAATATGATAGAGTAGTGCTCGCCATCGGAGCAGTTATGTGGAGAAGTGGGTCAGACTCTCGCTGAGGCATCTGGAAGATCAATGAGGGAAGAGGAGTGTCTGCTTCAGTAATATGTGCGTATGGACCGCGAGTTCTAGCGACTGGATATCGCCCATGTCTCCTGGGAGTCACCATAAACTCCTGAGAGATACTAAACAGATTGCCTACAGCTGAGACAGTAAATTAGTGAGTTAATACATGCACCCACACACACCTGTTCATTTTTCTTAAGGTTAAAGTAGCACCTAGACAAGCAGCATATGATTGGTTGGATTGATTGACGCGCCCCTCTTTGTAATTAGCTCCTCCTCTTTGTGCGCAGTAGCCACTGGGGAACAAAGGAAATGGACCATGCTATGTAGGTCAAGAGAAAAGCAATTTCTCTCTCTTTCGCTCTCTCTCTCTTTTTTTTTTACTCCTCTGCATCCTCATTCATGAAAAAGCAGGTGGTTTCCTTTTTTATCTTAGTTACGAATGAAAGATGGAAGCCATTACTGCAGTGCTGCAGGGCTGCTGAGATTCTTGCTTGGGTGTAATGAAAGTGATAGCACACACATGCATGCACGCTAAACACTACATCCTTTAATTAAGCGTCCGTCTGTCTTGCTGTCTGTTTTTGTCTCTCTTGGTCAGGATCCCTAAGGGATAACTTGCATAACCGAATAAAGTGGGCATTACACTGATAGCATCCTGACTCAAAAGATCAGGCTTGCCGTCAAAAGTTGACCCGTTGTCAACAAAGCTCACTTTTGAGCACCACTTGGACAACCAGCAGGTTAGCAGCTGCTGTAGATTTCACCGCCACAACGAACTAGATGGGGCCAGTGCATCGGACATCGCCTGGGCTAATTTACACACCTCTTTAATATTATTTTTAGTAACTTCTTATTGCCACAGACCGGGGCATCAGCACCTATGTTAAGGACTATACTAGAAAACCTATGATTGGCTTCAGGTTTCTTCTAATGCCTGGCACCTTGGCTAACTACTACTGGCGCCCCTAAAGCAGAATCTATTTTCACGTGGCACAAAATAGAATCACCCATAACCAGAGCACTTTCAACAAGTTTGTCAGTGGTTGCTTCACTGAGTGGGGCAAACCTGTTGGACACGTGAATTGGAGAAGGGTGGTCCTCAAGTAGGGAAGCATTATATGGAGTTAAATCAGTGTCACCAGAACCTGAACCTGAATTTGTGATTCTGAACCTGAATCTGTGACGCTGAATATGAGAAATTCAAACTGTAAAAATTCATGTTGAGAAATTCAGGTGGTAAAATTCAGGTCTGGAAATTCAGGTTGTAAAATTCAGGTCGAGAAATTCAGGGAAACGTCTGGGGTACTTGGGAAGAGCAAACAAGCGTAGATGCAATCCAGCTCACCCTTGGCCAATCACTGGGAGTGGCTTCTTTGTCACCGAGTACATGCTGATGAAGGACCGTGGCAGAAGAGCAAGCCAGTGGAACATTTCCAATTGTAAGTCGCTTATTCTTCCTTCTCTTTATGTAAGCTCACATCAGATACTAGTATTTATTGTTTTATTGGTTGTGCGTACAGATATAAGCTGATACTTGATTTCTTATAATATAGTAAGTGATTCTTATAATATAATGAGTGGTACTCTTCCCGAGTACCCCAGATGTTTCCCTGAGCTTTCCAGACCTGAATCTTACAACTTGAATTTCTCTACCTGAATTTTACAACCTGAATTTTACAACCTGAATTTGCAGACCTGAGTTTTACAACCTGAATTTTTGAACCTGAATTTTTACAGCATGAATTTCTAAACCTAATTTTTACAGCCTCAGGAAGTGTAAGGACTTCAGGTTCAGCATCACAAATTCAGGTTCAGCATCACAAATTCAGTTTCAGGTTCTGGTGACACTGATTTGACTCCATAGCATTAACTTTCACCCTCTATGAGGCCTCTGCTGCTGGAGTTGAAGGCATACTAGCTGTCCCAAAAGCACCCAGAGCTTCTGCCAGCCAATCTGAGCCTTGCTTACTAGCCATGCTCTTTTCCAGTATCCAGATATGCACCTCTAACTGTATAATCCTCTCTGTCAAACAAGAGACTTGTTTACACTTATCACAAATGAAGTTAGCACTGTCACTAGTGATGGAGAAAGAAGAATAAATGTATTGCACTCAGAGCACAGGAAAAGTTTAAAAAAGGCAGAAAAGTCTGCCACACTGATGCTAATGCTGCTTCGTCTGGCTGACTTGAGTCTTTTCTGAAGGTGTCTTGAGGATCCGATGAGGAAGATTGTCTCTGAATGATTGCAATTTATTTCAAAATAATGAGACTACAAGCGAAAAATGGAAAAAAGGCCAGAGACAAGTGAAGATTAAAGCACAGAAAACAGCAGCACTCCTCATAAGCCATTTCGAAAAACAGTAACATTACTCTTCAATGGCAGTTCACACTTGGCAGGTTTGGTTTGTTTAAAATGATCCTTGGTGTGATTCCTCTGTTAGTAAGGTTTGTTTGGACACATGTGAATGCTGTTCAAATGCTGGTGTGCTCAAAATAAGCGACCCGAGATCCTGTAAGGAGGGTGGTCTCGGTCGGCTCCTAAATGGACTCGGTTTGTTTGAAGTATGAATGCTAAACAGACCCAAGACATCCATTTACCATATAGAAGCACTTTGTAGATCTACAATTACAGACTGTAGTCCATCTGCTTTTCTGCATGCTTTGTTAGCCCCCTTTCAACCTGTTCTTCAATGGTCAAGACACCCACAGGACCACCACAGAGCAGGTATTATTTGGGTGGTGGATCATTCTCAGCACTGCAGTGACACTGACATAGTGGTGGCGTGTTAGTGTGTGTTGCACTGGTATGAGTAGATCAGACACAGCAGTGCTGCTGGAGTTTTTAAACTCTGTGTCCACTCACTGTGCACTCTGTTAGACACTCCTACCTTTTGGTCCACCTTGTAGATGTAAAGTCGGAAACAGTAGCTCATCTGCTGCTGCACAGTTTGTGTTGGTCATCCTCTAGTACTTCATCAGTAGTCACAGGATACTGTTGTCTGGACCAACCAAGGGAGCTGATCTCTCTCTCTCTCTCTCCCTCTCTCTCTCTTAATATATATATATATATATATATATATATATATATACACACGCATTAAGATTAGCCGCTATTGTATCTCTCGTCCTGATACATAATTCTGAGGTTAAATGTTCCCATAGGAAAGTGAAACTCACTGATTTGCCCAATGTGAAACAGACAGAAATTCAAATGAAAGTTATAGTGATATGTGATAGAGAGGAATCCGCAGCACTGGGCTTTAGCTGCGGCTCTAGAGTAATACATATGGATTATGGGATCATTAGTTTAAGTCTCCAGGCTCTGATCCTTGCGGCCGTAATTATTTTACTAATAACACGCCTTCCACTGGCAGAAAGTTAGTTTGTTTTGGACGGGAGTTTTTCAGGAGGTGGCGAGTTATTGAATATCCGACTTGATTTAATTCACCCTCAGAGGGAAATGGAGGGTGTTTGTGTATTTTGCCATTCATGGATTCATTAGCTTTTATTTATTCATGGAGCAGCCGCCTAATTGGTTGCATGAAAGGGGGAGTCTGCACTTCTCCTTTTTTTTTTCCATCCTCTCTGTTTCCTGGATGGTTTGAAGTAGATTGCCTGCACACATGCATTCTCTCTCTCACAGTCTCTGTCTCTCTGTCTCTCTCTCTCTGCTCTCCCTCATACTCTGTACTCTTCTTTCTTTCTCTGCTCTCTTTCAAACTCTCTCTCCTTCCCACCCTCTCTCTATTCTCCTCTTTCTCTCTCTCTCTCTCTCTCTCTCTCTCTCTCTCATATCTCTCTCTCTCGCTCACTGTCCATGTCCTTCGTACACTCTATCTGTATCTTT